CATCCTCGATGTCTGTATTCGCTTGCTTCGATTGTGGCGAGACCCTGCCTGCAGAATCATTCTCCGCAACACAACTTCAGCAGTCCAATCGGGCTTGCAAGTCGTGTGCCAGTCGACGGGAAACACAGTCACGGTCAGCCCCCCAACGCAAAGACTATCAATGCACTCGTTGCGGGGACATGCACGATCGAACTCACTTCAGCCCTTGCCAGCTGCACCGATCCACTCGGACGTGCAAGGCGTGCGCCACTGACGGCCGTCCGAAGCAAGACCTCTTCTCCTGCACGCGCTGCGGAGAGCTCTGGGACAGGACCCACTTCGACGCGAGGCACCTCAAAGCACGCAGCACTACGCGGGTTTGCAATTCCTGCGCCTCGCCCACTGGTAGTACTTCCACGCTCACAGACTGCAAGTCCCTATCGCTGGGGCTCCGAGACTGCATTTGTAGCCTCTGCGGTGTCGCCCGGTTCTCTTCGGAGTGCGCGGGTTTCTGCTGTCAGTTCGGAAAGCACGCAATCGATTTCACGAAGTACTTTGCGGAGCCTGGACCAAACCTCCTCCAGGTATACCGACGCGACGGCTTCAACGCCCACTCCCGCGCATACAACAACCTGTTCGGACTCGCCGTGCACGATATCCAGTCCAGCAGCGCGGAGCGGGAAACACACTTCTCCCCGCACAAGCCGTCTTTCATGAGAATCCACGGCACCATGTACCGAAAAACGTGGACCGCCGAAGGAGCCAATGCGGTTCAGTACATTGTCGTGGACCAGCAACTCCGCACGCAGACTGCAGACCGTTTGCAACTCAATCCGCAAATTGTGCGTGCTCTGGAACGCCACGTCCTCCACGGGAACCCGCACATGACGGCGATTCAGAAACTGACCGCCCCCACCTCGACGCGCTGCCCCGACAGAGTTCTGCAGCTCGACTGGGACGAGGGCATCCAAGAAGTGGCTGCCATACTCGACTCCGCCGGCGGCGCTCGCACGTCTCCTCGATCGGTGTTCTTCCGCCTACAGAAGTCCGAGCAGTACGATTACATCCCTCCCCTGAGCGAGCTCTACGAACCACTGTCCTACCCTTTGTGGTACCCCCGCGGTGGCAGAGGCTGGGCTCCAGACTTGAACACGCCAGAGCACAACAAGATCACGCAGATGTGGTGGTACCGTCAGCAGGCGCTGCGGCTACCACACATGCATGTGTCAGGGCGGCTCTTCAATGAGTGGGCGATCAACATGTTCTGCCGGATGGAGGACGAGCGCTTGCAACACGTGAAGGCACTGCAGCGGGCGTCCATAGCGACACGCTCCCAGCTTTGCGAGCTCCTGGCTAACCGGCCCCCCACTGAATCTGCTGGGATCGCTACGCCGCAGAAGCACTACCTCCCATCCACAGTGCAAGGGTCGCCGCGCCACCTTCGGCGGCTCCGGATTGACGCGCTGGAGACAGCTCGCCGTCTGGGCGCCCCGACGTGGTTCATCACTCTCACAACGAACCCCCATTGGCCGGAGATTGAACGGGAGCTCCACACGGGCCAGACCCACGCAGACCGACCAGACATAGTTGTCCGCGTGTTCCACGCCCGCCTGCAGCTCATCCGCAAATTCCTCCAGCACGAGTTCAGCGGGACTACGAAGTACATCATGCGAGTGATCGAGTACCAGAAAAGAGGCTTGCCCCACGCGCACATCGCCATTAGATCAGAGAGCCCCCCCGCCAGCGCCGAAGAAGTCGACGCATACATTTCGTGTGAGCTTCCTCGTGCGAGCGGTCCGCTTCGCGACCTCGTCCTGCGCCACATGGTGCACAAGTGCAACCGCGGCTGCCACCCCCTCGACCCTTCCGACCCGTGCAACAAAGGTTGCCCCTGGCCTTTCCGGCCCACTACCGAGTTTGACGGGCGCGGGTACCCCTTACACAGACGCCGGGAATGTGGCGGGCATTGTCCGAACTGCAGTTCTGGCCGCGCGGCGTTCGGTGGTCATGCACTCTGCTGCAACCAACTCATCGTGGAATACAACGCGAAGCTATTGATTCTGTGGGACGGGCACGCGAATGTGAAATTCGCAGGGCACGTCAATTTGTTCGAGTACCTCTACAAGTACCTCTTCAAAGGGCCCGACTACACTCTGTACGACATGCCCCCTGCAGACCGATCCGACGACGAGATTGCAGACTGGCTCCGCGGCCGATACCTGTGCGCGACAGAGTGCATGTGGCGAATATTCGGCTACGACACATACACGCGGACCCCCACTGTCGCGTGTCTCCCCGTCCACCTCCCCGGGGAAGACTGGGTGTCCTACAGCGACGGCTCCGAGCAACGCGCGCTCGACGCCACCTTCTCCGCCTTACCGCGGTACTTCGCGCGCCCGGCAGGGCCCGTATTCGACGGATTGCTCTACGCGGAGTATTTCGAGCAATTCCAGACGGCCAAGACGTGTCCTACCTCTTTAAACGACCCGTCCATGCTCAGAGCCGCAGGAGACCCGGACGTCGACGGCAGTGTCTGGACTGACCTGGCGCCCTGCGCCCAGCGGAACTACGTGTACCGTCGCATGCGTGGCCAGCCACCGCTGTGCCGATTGGAGATGAAATTCCCCCAGCAGAAAGAAGTGTTCTACCTTCGCCACATGCTCTTGCACTACCCCAAGCGGTCGTTCGAAGACTGCCGGTCCCATCTGGGTCGGTCCTACGCGACTTTCGAACAGGCCATGCTCGCGACTGGCCGTTTCACCAACAACACGGAGGCGCACGACACCATGCAAGAGCTCATTGACCTACGTTACACTGGGCACCAGCTTCGTTTCGTGTTTGTTCTCCTGCTCGACCAAGACTGCGCGCCGTGCGCTTTCTACAAGCGCTTCGCTGTAGCTCTCCAGAAGGACTTCCTCGATCGAGGCATGTCCCCTGCGGCCGCGCAATTGTCCTTGGCCTCGGCATTACTCAACCTGTGGGTTCAAGCGGGCCACGACAAGTCCAAGTTCCCGCTGCCTGACCTCTTACGACACATGGCAGAACTGCAGGACCGGCCCGCTCTGCCCGAGGCAGAATCCCGTCGTTTGCGGCTCCTGGTGGAAGGCTCCGCAGAATCCAAACGACTGGCAGACGAGATCCTCTCGCAGTTCGCGGTTGGGGCCGACGTTTTCTTCTTTGTCCACGGTCGCGCTGGCACCGGGAAGTCCACCCTCGCCAACTATCTCACGCACGCTGCCGAGTCCACGCAGCACGCGGTGCTCAACGTGGCCACTACTGGCCAGGCCGCTCTCCAACTGGCCCACGGCGCTACTGCCCACTCCACGTTCGGCATCCCCACGACAGATGACGAATACCTCACTTCTACTGTGACGCCCAACACTGCGAAAGCCCGCATGCTGGCACAAACGAAGCTCCTGCAATGGGACGAATGGCCCATGGCCAAGAGGGCTTCGTGGGACTGCGTGGTGCAGCTGCTGCAGCGCCTGCGAGCTGACCTATCCGACGTGTACGTCCCGAAGGTCGTGGTTTGCTACGGCGACTTCCGTCAAATCCCGCCTGTGGTGAAGTACTGCACGCGCGCAGAAATTGTCCAGCACTGCGTTCGCGCGTCCCCAACGTGGGCCCGCTTCCGCGTGCGCCACCTGCACCGTGCCCACCGGACCGCCGCCGACGCCAAGTTCACGGAATGGCTGGAGACCATTGGCAACGGCACGTGCCCCGCTCCTCACACCTGGAACGGGCACACTGGCTACGTGGCATTATCTGGCCTCCCGATGGTGGACTCTGAGCAGGAGGCAGTCGACTTCGCACTCCCCACCTTGCATGACCCCCATCGCTGCTCCAAAGCCAAGATCGTGGCCACGACGAACGACAAGGTGGACCACTTCAACGCCCTCATCCTCAACAGGCTCGTCATGGACCACGGGCTTTCTGACCATTCCCACTACAGCGCTGACAGTGTCGAGGTCGACGCCAACTCCGTATTGGATGATTCCATGACCACCGAGTTCCTGAATACCCAATCCCACCTGGGCGTCCCCCCGCACCGCTTGCGGCTGGTCCGCGGAGGCCTCTACGAGCTCATGCGCAACCTCAACAGCAAGGAACGCTTGATGAATCACACGCCCGTTATTCTGAAAAACGTTCATCGGTTTCACGTTGTGATTGCCACGCTCGACCAGCGCGAGTACCCTATTCCGCGCATCATCTTCCAGTGGGCTCTCGGTCGGGGTGCCTGCACTGTGCTGAGGCGACAGCTCCCCCTGCGCCCCGCGTACGCCTCCACGTTCAATGGGGCGCAGGGCGCGACGCTCGAGAGATGCGCCGTGGATGCGCGGGCAGACCCCTTCGCCCACGGCCACCTGTACGTTGCTCTCGGTCGCGTGTCTCACCGGATGGATTTGCGAATCCTATCTTCTCCGGACCGGTGCACGCCTCAAGGCGAGCCTCTCATCCGGAATGTGGTGTGGAAAGAGCTGCTCCTGCCCCATGGCCCAGCTCGCAGCAGCGGCGGCCCGCTTGCGGGCGCGGAGCTTCCCATGAAACGCCCAGCCGCCGCCCAGCACGGCGCGCGCAAGCGACCGGCGCGCAGCTAGCTGGCGCTGCGCGCCCAGGCACCCTTTCTGGCTATGAGTTTCAAAGTGTAAGCTTAGCCTCCGTTAGTGCTTGCTCGCAACCTTGGTGCCTGCATCTGCCTGTCGCTCTCGCGAGCGGAAAACCGCTCCAATCGGCCGCCATCTCTTAGACGGCTTCGCCGCGCTGCCCCGCCGTCTCCCCCGCAGCGGGTTCCCGCCCAAACCACCAAAATGCTTAGAATCCCGGGTTCGCAACCAAATTCCCCGGATATCGGTTGCGAACCCGGGATTCGGTGCATTTCCTACGAATTCGGGTGCTTTCGCGCACACCGCTGCTCACCGCTGCAGTTTCTCGGCTCCAAAGCGGCGCCCAGCATGCAAAGAGTGAGTTTGCCGCAGTGTTCGTCGGTGGCCGCCCCCCGCCCTGCCCAAGACTTCGAAGCGATGCCGGCGCGCAGCGGCAACGCGGTCGTCGTGGACCCCGCCGCCCCGCAGCCTGCGGCCCAAGCAGCCCCGGGGGCACGCGCCAACGGCACGCTCTACACCGTTGACGTGGGCATCCAGATGATTGGGGTCAAAATCGCTGGCAAGGTGGTGCACGACGCCGGCGTGCGGTTCACCCTCGCCGACGCGGCGTCCTTGCAGCCCGGTCAGCCGCGCCTGGCGCAGCGCCGCGCTTTGTCTACGGCGCGTGGCCCGCCAAACCGCTCTGCTCCCCCCCAGGCCGAAACGTTGCCGTCAAATCGAAAGACGCCCGCCCCCACCTAAACACGCATATGATTATACTTCGGATTTTCTCCCCCCCTCCCAAGCCCCAGGTGACCCAGCGCGCTCGGGAGGAGCTCGCCCTGCCGGAGAAGCCGCGCAACGTGGAGTACATGAACCGCGGCCTCATGCCGCCTCAGAGCACCGCGAACCCCTACCAGGACCGGCCCGCTCTGCCCGAGGCAGAATCCCGTCGTTTGCGGCTCCTGGTGGAAGGCTCCGCAGAATCCAAACGACTGGCAGACGAGATCCTCTCGCAGTTCGCGGTTGGGGCCGACGTTTTCTTCTTTGTCCACGGTCGCGCTGGCACCGGGAAGTCCACCCTCGCCAACTATCTCACGCACGCTGCCGAGTCCACGCAGCACGCGGTGCTCAACGTGGCCACTACTGGCCAGGCCGCTCTCCAACTGGCCCACGGCGCTACTGCCCACTCCACGTTCGGCATCCCCACGACAGATGACGAATACCTCACTTCTACTGTGACGCCCAACACTGCGAAAGCCCGCATGCTGGCACAAACGAAGCTCCTGCAATGGGACGAATGGCCCATGGCCAAGAGGGCTTCGTGGGACTGCGTGGTGCAGCTGCTGCAGCGCCTGCGAGCTGACCTATCCGACGTGTACGTCCCGAAGGTCGTGGTTTGCTACGGCGACTTCCGTTAAATCCCGCCTGTGGTGAAGTACTGCACGCGCGCAGAAATTGTCCAGCACTGCGTTCGCGCGTCCCCAACGTGGGCCCGCTTCAACGTGCGCCACCTGCACCGTGCCCACCGGACCGCCGCCGACGCCAAGTTCACGGAATGGCTGGAGACCATTGGCAACGGCACGTGCCCCGCTCCTCACACCTGGAACGGGCACACTGGCTACGTGGCATTATCTGGCCTCCCGATGGTGGACTCTGAGCAGGAGGCAGTCGACTTCGCATTCCCCACCTTGCATGACCCCCATCGCTGCTCCAAAGCCAAGATCGTGGCCACGACGAACGACAAGGTGGACCACTTCAACGCCCTCATCCTCAACAGGCTCGTCATGGACCACGGGCTTTCTGACCATTCCCACTACAGCGCTGACAGTGTCGAGGTCGACGCCAACTCCGTATTGGATGATTCCATGACCACCGAGTTCCTGAATACCCAATCCCACCTGGGCGTCCCCCCGCACCGCGTGCGGCTGGTCCGCGGAGGCCTCTACGAGCTCATGCGCAACCTCAACAGCAAGGAACGCTTGATGAATCACACGCCCGTTATTCTGAAAGACGTTCATCGGTTTCACGTTGTGATTGCCGCGCTCGACCAGCGCGAGTACCCTATTCCGCGCATCATCTTCCAGTGGGCTCTCGGTCGGGGTGCCTGCACTGTGCTGAGGCGACAGCTCCCCCTGCGCCCCGCGTACGCCTCCACGTTCAATGGGGCGCAGGGCGCGACGCTCGAGAGATGCGCCGTGGATGCGCGGGCAGACCCCTTCGCCCACGGCCACCTGTACGTTGCTCTCGGTCGCGTGTCTCACCGGATGGATTTGCGAATCCTATCTTTTCCGGACCGGCGCACGCCTCAAGGCGAGCCTCTCATCCGGAATGTGGTGTGGAAAGAGCTGCTCCTGCCCCATGGCCCAGCTCGCAGCAGCGGCGGCCCGCTTGCGGGCGCGGAGCTTCCCATGAAACGCCCAGCCGCCGCCCAGCACGGCGCGCGCAAGCGACCGGCGCGCAGCTAGCTGGCGCTGCGCGCCCAGGCACCCTTTCTGGCTATGAGTTTCAAAGTGTAAGCTTAGCCTCCGTTAGTGCTTGCTCGCAACCTTGGTGCCTGCATCTGCCTGTCGCTCTCGCGAGCGGAAAACCGCTCCAATCGGCCGCCATCTCTTAGACGGCTTCGCCGCGCTGCCCCGCCGTCTCCCCCGCAGCGGGTTCCCGCCCAAACCACCAAAATGCTTAGAATCCCGGGTTCGCAACCAAATTCCCCGGATATCGGTTGCGAACCCGGGATTCGGTGCATTTCCTACGAATTCGGGTGCTTTCGCGCACACCGCTGCTCACCGCTGCAGTTTCTCGGCTCCAAAGCGGCGCCCAGCTTACAAAGTGTGAGTTTGCCGCAGTGTTCGTCGGTGGCCGCCCCCCGCCCTGCCCAAGACTTCGAAGCGATGCCGGCGCGCAGCGGCAACGCGGTCGTCGTGGACCCCGCCGCCCCGCAGCCTGCGGCCCAAGCAGCCCCGGGGGCACGCACCAACGGCACGCTCTACACCGTTGACGTGGGCATCCAGATGATTGGGGTCAAAATCGCTGGCAAGGTGGTGCACGACGCCGGCGTGCGGTTCACCCTCGCCGACGCGGCGTCCTTGCAGCCCGGTCAGCCGCGCCTGGCGCAGCGCCACGCTTTGTCTACGGCGCGTGGCCCGCCAAACCGCTCTGCTCCCCCCCAGGCCGAAACGTTGCCGTCAAATCGAAAGACGCGCGCCCCCACCAAAACACGCATATGATTATACTTCGGATTTTCTCCCCCCCTCCCAAGCCCCAGGTGGCCCAGCGCGCTCGGGAGGAGCTCGCCCTGCCGGAGAAGCCGCGCAACGTGGAGTACATGAACCGCGGCCTCATGCCGCCTCAGAGCACCGCGAACCCCTACCAGGGCCGCACGTGGACCTACTGCATCGACGTGGTGCCCACCACGTCCGGGGCCGTCAAGGCGGCCATTGCGCACGGCGCAGACCACGCCGCTTTCATCATGAAGCACTCCTTCTTCGAGGCCGACCTGTCCGTGCCCGCGTCGCCCACGGCGGCGGCCTGGAGCGCGACGGCATCCCTGCTCGGGCAGCGCGTCAAGGTGCACCGCACTGGCACGCGCGCCGATGGGGGCGACTGGGCGGTGTCCGACCTCATCAGGTTCCGCTTCCGTCTGGACCCAGCGATGCCGCCGAACGTGCGCAAGGTGGTGGACGCCATGGTGCAGAAGTATTCTGCCTACATCACGGTGGGCCCCTTCGACTGGCAGGGCGGCCCTCAGGCGCTCGCGGCTTCGGCCCCCAGGAAGCGCCCGGCGGCGGCTGGCGGTGAGCCCGCGGTTCGCAAGCGCCCCGCGCGCCGTTGAGGCGCGGCCGCTGGCGAGTACCTCTTTTCCGCGCAGCCGCGCGCGCCCACGTGGCGGCGCGCGCCAAGGCCGGGCACGTTTTTTAATATGACCCCGCAGACGGTGCGGGTGCTTGCCGCTTCTTCTCTCCTCGGCCCCTGGCGCCCGCGTCGCGGCATGCCCGTAGGCCACGAGAGCCGTTTACAGGGGCGTCCCCCGCCCCGCGCGGAACCCGCCCAGCATTCTGTCGGTCTGACATGTGCTATCGCAGCCCGTCCATTGAGCCGTATCGACGTCGCTCTCAGCAGCAAAACATTCCCGTCCTCCGCGAGCCTCGCGAGCCTCCCCCTGGGGCCTCGCCGCGTACGCCCCGCTTCGCTTTCGCCCGTCAACGCATGTTTCATGGCGTCCAACGCCGAAGGCGGACTTTGAGGCCTCCCCCGCATCGCCAAAGCTCCCTTCCTCCGTCCCCATCTGCTCTGACGCTTTTCCCGTGGCTTCGTCACTTTCGGGAATTCCCCGGGAATCTCTGCCGCCATTGCCACAGACGTGAAGCCTCGCTTCCGGAGTCCCAGAAGCTCCCGAAAAGCCCCATGGAACCACGTGAGCCCCAGCAGGGCCCACCGCAGAACCCCGTGTGCCCCCGCTGGAGCCCATGGCATGCTTCGGGAGCCCCCCAAGGCATTCACCCCACCAAGCAGCAGAATCGCCCCAAATCCAAGGTTCGCAGCCGATTTCCCGGAAAAAACGTTGTGAACCCGGGATTCCAATTTTTTTTCTCTGCATCGCGGCCCAAACCGCTCTCCTTATCAAATTGCCCTTCCGCTTTTCCCAAGCCATACCTTCAGATAAAGCCGCGTCATGCAAAGCTGTCCCCGGGGCCCCGACCATTTGTTCGCGCTTTCTCAAGCTTCTCCCATACCTTCGCGATCCAAAAGAGCCTCGGGACGCCTCCAGCAACGTTAATGACAGCTTCGGAAACCTCTAGGAGACCCCCCACGCCGCTTCCAAATACCATTTCCAATTTTTCCACGATCCGAATTAATGATGTTTGCCTTCTCGCTTTGTTACTTATGCTGATGCTTGAAGACCGCCCCGAAGTAGCCTCCGGGGGGCCCGATGCGCTTCCAAAAATCTCCGAAACAGCACCAAGGGGAAGTTGAACAGGCCCCCACAAGGCCCCCCACACGTCCCCCCAGGTCTCCACGAAACCCCACCGGGCCCCCACGACGCCCCCAGTAGTTTCAAAAAAACCGCCAATGATCCCCAGGGGTCCCAAAAGGTCCCCCCCCTTTCTACGTGGTTCGTACTGTCTTAGCCTTCGCGCATTGCCAGCTTCGGACACCCCATCAGGTCGCCAGGGCCTCCCCTGACGACCCCCAAACCCGTCCAAGAGGACCTAGACAAACACCCAAAACGACACACGTGGTTCCGAAAGGACCCCTGGGACCGCCACGCGGCCCCACAAATGCGTTCCTCCTCCTCTTCCTCCTCCCCGCCCCCGTCCGCCACACTCGACTTCGTCACCCATCGTCCTGCTTTCCCTTGCTGCATCGCCTGGCTTCGCCGGCAAGTCTCCCGTTCCATGTGGATTTTCTGGTCTCGGTGCCACGCGTGTCGGTGGCTCCGCGCCCACCCGGCTTTGCTCCGCACCTAATCCCATGGAGAGTGTTCCAGACAGAGCTTCGTATTCGAGGACTTCCAAAGTTGTCTTCTCGCCCTCGGCGGAGGCTGGCAAAAGGCCCGCGGAAGCTGGCGGATGTAAGCGGCTATCGCTGTGGCCAGCGCATGCCAGCGGACGCTGGGTTGAACCCCCCGAAAGCCAGTTGGGCTTTCCAAGAGAGGTCGACGCTGACCACCGTCACGTCCTGGGGCTTGCATAGCGGAGTGCATAATCGACGATCGGTGTGCACACATCGATCCATGGGCCCCTCGAGGTCTGCACGCCTCGCCCAGAACAGGCTGCCTGGCGCTCGCAATGAACCCCCACTCGCCCGAGGACCGCCCATACACAGTCACCAGACGGCCTCAATATGGCCCAAACCATTCTGCACCCCAATTAACAATGAACGTGTAGAGAGGGCCCCCTCGTGGCACAAACATCTCAACGGTCGCGCGAACCGACCTCTCCATGCATGGCCGCCCCATGTGGTGATGTGCGCATCGTTGCGATGCATGTCGTTTGCAATGGCTCGCGTCGAATTGCAGTGCGTTGCATTGTCGTCGCATTACAGGTCAACGCCAATAGTTCACATCGCGCTTCTATTGCGACCTATTGCATTCGTTTCACTACTGCGAAGGCCTTACGGCCGGTGCCGCCGACCCTGAAAGGGAACGACGACGGCGGCGGCGACGACGACGACGCTAACGTGGATCAGAGTCCTCAGAACTGCTTCTCGGGGTCTCTTCGGAACGCTCTCGGGGGCCTCTGGGGAGCAGTCCAGGGGCTCTTGGGAGCCTCTTGAAAGCGCTTGGGACTTCCTGAGGGCCTCTTGGGGGCCTGTTGGAACCTCTTGGGGCCATCCTGGGGCTTCTTGGGGCCCCCATGGCATCCTCTCGGGGCTGAGGGCAAATTTTCTCGGACCAGTGGCCACCGCCACAGCCATAAGAACGGGGGGCACGTTTTTCCAGGATCGAGGCTTCGTGAAAGCCTGCAGGAATGCTTTTCCCCTCCCCTGGCAGCGAAGGTCGCCCCCAAACGATTTCACTCCTCCCTCCTTATCCTCCTCCCCTGGTGTAGCCACTTTGGCCCAAGCCCAATGGAGGCCTTCTGGTCTTCCTTTTGGCTCGTGCGCTGCACGCGCCAACTCGTGCGCGACAGCCTTTTCAAAGGCACTTTATCGAAATGCCACCTTCCGCCATTTTGGCGCGACCTGCAGCCGAGCAATGAACTCGTGCCGGGCACGGACGTGCACATGGCAACGCTGAGCCCAGCAGAGTTGAAGGCATTCGTTCTTGGTCTGCATCTCTTCCTGTTCCTCCTCTTCCTCCTCCTCGTCCTTTCCCCCCTCGCTCCTCATATTCCTTATTTTCCTCCTCCCTTTCCTCCCTTCCACATGCCCTTCACGAGGCCCTTCTTCCGGCCATCAACGACTGGCGGTCGGTGTCCGTGTCGTGGGACGACTGGGCTTCGTACAACGACGCCGCCGGGGACGAGACGTCGGGGCAACCGGACATCTTCGTCAAAACCATAGAACACGAAAAGGTGTGCTTGGAGATGGCTGACAAGACGTCGAGAGCAATCACGACCATTCTGGGCCAGGCCCCGTACCAGGCACGCGACTCCTTCGCGCTGGTTATGGAGTTCCTCCACAGCCCAGTGGCCCTGAAGATCTTGCAGGAGAACGTCGAGGACACTGCCACGAAAAAGGGCGTGACCTCCAAGGTGGGCGCCGTGCTCGCCGCGCACACGGGCCACCCGGCAGACTTGGTGGGAACGAGCTTCAACCCGTGGGTCCTCGCCCACTCAAGGTCGAAAAAGTTGTCTGCCCGGAAGGCCCCGGGCCTCGGAAGAATCCCCAGCCATGCGACAATGTTTTTCTATAACAGCACTTGCCTTTCGCAACGACACGGCGGATGTGTTCCACACTCGTCAGGGGCAGTTTTTCCACGCACGTGTTATTATTATTTTCCCATGCCCCAAAATTTCCTTCGCCCCCCGTTCGCCCCAGCTCGCGCGGGCCATTCTGACGCCCGCCGCAGGCTGCCTCCGAGCTCAGGAAGATCGCCGCCAATAGCCGGCAATTCCAGGAGGCGGTGAACGAGCTGGAGCACAAGGGCGGCATGGTGGACAAGCTGCTGGCGGCCCCGGCGGGCGAGCTGGCCACCGTGCTTGCAGCAAGCCCTGGCTGGCGCAGCTTCCGGGCCAAGAACTTCTCGCTTCCGCCAGCCGACGAGTCGGTGCAGCGACCACGGCCGGTACGCCACCACGCCAAAGGTGGTCCTCGCGGGGTCTGGGCCGCGCCGGGTGCTCTCCCAGCGCCTGGGGACCACGGCGTGGGTGCCAGGGAAACAGGTCAGGAGCGTAAAAAACACACCATTCACACGCGTTAAATTCCTCCCACCCGCCCTACGTTTAATTCTGAAGGATCTGTTCATACAGATCACGCCTCCCCCGTACAGGGGGGAACGCGCGAATTGGCACGAACCCGGATCAGCGCCCACTGGAGAAAAAGCCCCTCGCGCAGCAATGTAGACCCGAATAGCAGTCATATTTTTTGGTGTGTTTTTTTCTGCTCCGTCGAAGGGCCGGCGCGTCCGGAAGGTGGCCGCCCTGGAGAGCAGCACCGCCGGCGCCCTTCAGCTCTGGTCCGCCCTGCTGCGACAGTGCGCTGGCGAGCGGACCAAGGCGCTGGCGGCGGCGCGCAAGCTGGCCACGAAGCGCCACAAGACCCCTGCGCTGGAGCGCCTGCTGAAGTGGGCGGACAAAGCGCTGCTCCCGGACTACGGGATGCAGTTCGCTTTCTGCGAGGAGAGCCAGCTGCTCTCCCGGCTCGCAGGCCCGGCCCCCCCAGACGAGGAGGCCGGCGACGAGAGCGACGTGGCGGCGGGCGACGACGGCGATGCCGAGGTCGCTGCTGGGCCGGCCGCTGGTGGCGCGTAGGCCACGCGGGCCCTGGGCTGCGGCTGCCGCCCCTGCCTCTGGCCCCCCGCTCTCGGCTTTCGGGCAGAGGCCGCCCGCGGGGTTGGGCGGTTTCTGGAGCGGCGCCTCTCGGTGCGACGCGGACAAATTGCTTTGCCGCTCCCCGACGGCACCTTCATTATCCCTCTCCCTCCTCCTCTTCCTCCTCATGATCTGGCAGTCCTTGGAGCCGCAGCCCCCTGGTCTGTTTCCATATGTGATCGCAAGGCATCTCCGTTTGTCTCACCCCCATGCGCAAGTCGAGACAGCACGCCGCCCCAATGCGTGCCTTACCTTACCTTACCTCATGATATTCCTCCCTTCGCCGCGCCTCCCCAAATCGTCCTCCACTTCTTTCCCGCCCCTTCTGTCCGACGTTTTGTATTTCCGGAGCCTCCACGGCCGCTCTCATCGCCGCTGATCGGTCCGCTGGGACATTCTCATGGAGTCCCAGTGGCGCGCGGACCAGCAGAGCGAGGGCGCGAGCAAGTAAGGTGCAGGTCCGGGAACTGGGCGCGAACCAACCGCGGTTCAAAGACCGTGGAGGGCCGCGCTAGACGCCAACGCGCGCAAGGGTTGAAGGACCAAGGTGCATGGCGCGAAGCGCCAATGCAGTCTTGTATATATATATATATATATATATTATATATATATTATATATATATTATTTCTCCCTCTCTCTCGCTCTCTCTCTCTCTCTCTCTCTCTCTCTCTCTCTCTCTCTCTCTCTCACTGCCTCTCTCGTTTTTGTTTCCTCTCTCTCTCTCTCTCTCTCTCTCTCTCTCTCTCTCTCTCTCTGTCGTCCTCGTCCTCGTCCCCGTCGAGTGGCTGAGCCTGGCTACACCGCATACGTCGTTGGTGGCCTGCTGATTTGATAAGCACAGCTTCGCCCATCCCGATACCAGAGTAGGGGGGGGGGGGCGAGTGGTCTGACATGGTCCCTGGGTGCGTGGCTGGAGTGGGGTTCCGTGGTGCGGAGTGCCGCTTTTGTTGCCGTCGTCGCTCGCCACCCGCCCCGCGACCCGCCCCGCGGCCCACCCGCGACTCGCCCCCGACCCTGCCGCGACCCGCCCACTGCCCACTCGCGACTTGCCCTGCCGGTGGCTCGCTGCCCCCCCTCGGAGCCCCCGGACGCCTCGCCCTCTGGCGCGCCTGGCCGCGCCCTCGACTCGAAGCACGGGGCGCCCGCGAGGGCCGCGCCTGGCAGGGCCACGGGCCAGAGCCCTGCGCCCGCCCGCCGCTGCCTGTGTAGCCCCTGGCATCGCTCGGACGTGTGCATTTTTTTTCGTTCCCCGGCGAGGACCCTGGAGGGCCATCCTGGACCATCGAGCCAAAAAGACACGCACGAAGCCGCAAACTGTACGGGAAACGGGCGCCCGAGCGATGGCAAGAGCCGCTCGGCGCCGCCTTGGACACGGCGCACCGGCGCCGGCCTGCGTGCTCGATGCGGGCGCCTTCTCGGTGCCCCCCTTCTAGCTCCTGGCGCTGCTGCAGCCAGCTCTGCCTCGCCGCCGACGGAGAGGTTCCATGCGGGCGGCGCTCGCTGCTTTTTCCTCCGGCCCGGACACCCTGGCGTCATACAGTCGGGGCATTGACCTAAGGAACCCTAGATCAGGAACGAGGCCCCTTTTCTCCATAAGTTAACCTTCGATTTCCTGTCGAAAACATAAGGAAAGCCTGAGGCAAGCTGTGAAACACTTAAGGAACACGGAGCCCCTCCCCAACGAAAAGGGTTCCTTCTTCAGGGCCCCGACTGTATGCCTTCCGCGCTGGGCGATCGCGCCTTGCTTCGGGCGCCGGGAGCCTCGCAGCTCGATCCGGCTCGAGACACGCAGCAGGCAGATGGGGTCCACGGTTCTGGCCGTGATGTTGTACGCTGTTGCGTTGTTTTTCGCGCCGCTGGATCTCAGGGGATGTAGCATCATTTTCGTGATGTCGACCTCCCCTGGAGATCTCGACCCTTGTTTTCCAACTTCAGTCCGTCCCGAAGCCGGGAAAGGGCTTCCAGAGACCGAGAACGTTGAAAAAACGATTGTCGCACTTACTAGTGTCGCATGGATATGGGGGTTCTGGGCCGAGGAGGGCCAGACAACTTGGGAAATAAACCTTTCTCCTTCCCTCGCAGCTTCCAGAGGATGCCCCTCCTCCAGGCCTCCCACTTGGAGCTGCAGCAAATGGGATCGAAGGATCGCGCCGCATCGCCGATGCATCGGCAAGACGGCGCGACCTGGCCCCCATTCTCCTTCGTCCCGCAGTCGCCAATGCGTGTGCGATGCGGCGCGATCCTCCGACCCCCTCTGCTCCGTCCCAATTCCCAGGCCCACGACGTCATGATTTGTTTCATGATGTCGACCCTCAGAGGTCTCGACCCCTTCCCCGGGACCGGCTTCTCATCCTGAGTGGCTCTTTGACGGTCCCGAGGCCCGGTGAGGGCCCCAGAGGCCGAAATTCATAGCGAAGAACTTCCCGTCGTGTGTTTTGCTCGTGGGGGGGATGAGGGGAGGAGGAGGAGGAGGGGAGGAGGGGAGGAGGGGAGGAGGGGGAGGGGGAGGGGGGAGGGGCAGGGGCAGGGGGAGGGGGAGGGGGAGGAGGAGGAGGAGGAGGAGGAGGAGGAGGAGGAGGAGGAGGAGGAGGAGGAGGAGGAAGAAGAAAAAGAAGAAGAGGAATATTCTGACTGGTCCACCACGGGCTGCCCATCACATTAAGGTGTCTTGTTGTGGTGGGTAGTTCTGCTGCCACTCAACCAGGACAACTAGCTAGAGCAAGTTGTCCCGTTGTGTCTTTGCTATGCTACGCTAAGCGATGCTGTGCGGTGCTGTGCAATCCAATATTATGCAATTTTATGATATGATATGCAATGCTGTGCTATGATATGCTGTGCGATCATGTGCAATAGTGTGCTGCACCATGCCATGTTATGCTATGCGATGCGACCCGATAATGTGCGATACTATGCCACGGTATGCTATGCGAAGCTATGCTGTTATATGCAATGCCTCGCAATCCTGTACTCTGTTTTGATATGCTGTGCGATGCTCTGCTATGATGTATCACGCCATGGTACGACATGAAATGCCCTTTTGTGCTGTGTTGTGCTATTTGATCCCACACGATGATATGTTATGCAATGCAATGGTATGCTATGTTATGTTTTGTCATGCTACGCGATGCTAAACGATGCGATGCTACGCGATGGTGCGATATAGTTCCAGTCTGTCCCTCCCGCAACCTCCCTATCACCCGAAGTGTGGTCGTGTAGGTAGGCCGCTCCCCGGAAATTCAAACCGCCCTTATCCCCCGTTTCACGCGTTTTTCTGGCTTGAATTTCGCGCGAGTAGCCGTTTGGCTCAAAAAGGGCGGCTCAACACACTTGGGGAAAGCAGTGTCAGGGGGATCTACTGCACGGGATGGTGTTGCTTGCGCCGCCGCTTCGTTTCGGGCCCCAGCCCTTGGCGGGAAAGAGGGTGAAACCCGTGCGCGCTGAGGGGGGGCAGAAACCGACTGCCGCGAGGGCGACTCGGAGGAAGGCCGAGGCACAGAAGACATCGCATTCGATCATGCCAAGCTACAGGAGGCACACATTTCAAAGTGTTGGGCGCTCCTCGCTGCGAAAGCTGAGTCCATTGAGGAAGTCGTCGCAGCCTCTGGCGCGGAGGCCACGGTCATGCGCGGCGGTCAAAGCGGCGAAGAGGTCACAAGCTCCGGCTCTGATTTCCCCGCCGTTGGCACGGAAGGTTCCCAAAAGTGGAAAGGGTTCGCAGACTCTGTCGCGAAAGCGCCCCATTTCGGATGACATGCTCCAGGTGTTTGACGGGTCCCTTTCCGAGGCGCAGCATCTGGAACGCCATGCGGCTTGCAAGGGTTTCTGCATTCGGTGCGATTTGCAGAAGCGCCCCAAGGTTTACGAGGCGTGTACCCTCTACGAGGGCCGTTCTTGGTTGTCGCGAGGCGTTAACCGTGGCATATGGGGCCTCGGGTGCAGGATATGCGCTGAGTTTGCGGCTTCTGGCAACAAGTGTGACGGCGCCAGGTTTTCAAAGTTTGCCAAGTTCCAGATTCGCCCGAAGACGGGTTTTCACGCCAGGATGCTTTTAGAACGACATAGCACTTCCGATTCGCACCGCGTGGCCTGTGGGATAAAAAAGAGAAAGGGTTCCGACATGTTTGCTCAGCCGACTGTACCACAGCCTCTGGCGTGCCCGACCGTTTGGCCAACTGAGAAGCCATGCGAGCTTCTGGCGACCGAGTCTGATACTGGCTTGATAAAGGGAAACGCACCGTCCCCATCGGAGTGGAAAGACGCGTGGGCGGTGCTATCAGAAGGAGTCTCTCACCGGAAGGACGCTCGCATCTGCGATAAGAAAGGGCACGCGCCTGGCTCGGTGGCGAACAGAAGACGGAAACGCCATCGCCGACAACTCCAAGTGATGGCGGAGGTCTTGAGGAAGAATATCCGCAAAGTGCTGCACCAGGCGACTTCCATATCTTTGGCTATCGATGAGTCGAAGTATCGGAAAATCGTCCGGTTTCGCGCCGACCTTCCTGCTGTACAACATAGCGGTCAGGGCTTCCACTTGGGCAACGTTGGTGCGTCAGGATATTGCCTCTCGGGCGTGTTAGGCCTTCTCGACTGCTCGAAGAAACACGCGTCCGACTTCGAGGAGGACCACGCTGTCACTGCGGTTAAGCAGCTTGATGCATTTCTGACAAAATTTTGCACGCCGCTCGGCAGAATTAAGGGCCGCAGGGGGGCACAGCCCCTGGCGTGCGATGAGGAACTGAAAGCACACGTGCTGCGAACAGTCACCAGTTTCTCTGCTGATGGCGCGTCCAAGGAGCGGCGTTCAGTCTTCCTCGCTGCTCGCGAACTGTTCCCCAACTTGTTAATCGTGATTCGCGATCCAGCACGCGCCATACGCATTGCCGTCAAGTCGATGCATTGCGACGACGTGTTTGGGGAGGTCTGGAGGGAGCTGTTCAATGATCGGCACGCGTTGGTTCCTGACCTAATGCACTCTAACAAGCTGCACAACCTTCTGGTGGCAATCCAGGAGGACAACGTGCACGCAGTGGCAGTGCCTGGGTTGCCTGGAGGACCCCAGCCCCTGGCGGGAATCGTGCGGAATT